TTTTCCTACTGTGAATAGATCTAAAAATCTAGGCCATCTGTAACGCCTGTCGGTTGTTAAAAATGTGAATTTCTAAACTTAGATCTATCTATGGGCCAAGGCTCCTTCTTTCAAATTGGCCTATGTCTTTATAATCCTTTGAAATCTAGGCTAGATCTAGAATCTAGATTAGGTTCTTCTAGGAAGCAACAATTGGCATGTAGGCCCAACTTTTTTTTTTTTTAAGTGATTGAGCTGAAACTTAAGGAGAAAATGCCATGCCTTCGAAGAGGAAGAAGAAGTCTTACCCCTAGAGGTAGTCAAGAGGGGGTGCTACAAGGATAAATTCAAAATAAAATATTTGTGCTTTGTTTCTTTCCTGTTTTCAGTCTTTTTCCTCTTCTTAACTTTCTTCATTATTATTCCGTTTGTAGAACGGGTTCTTTTATTACTAGATCTAGATATAGATCTAGAATCTAGTCATAATTATACAGCCAGTGGTTGAGTGGTCAGTGGAACTCATCGTCTCACTTTTCTTAATCTTCTCCAAACAGATAGCAGAAACAAACAGAAACCTAAGTTTGCACCTTGTGATGCACAGGCCTACTAGTGAGCAGAGTAGAAGGAAAGGGGGAAAAGTAGGAATGGCCACAGAACTGAGTCATTTAAACTTGTTAGTCTATCACTATCACAGGTAATTTAGTTTAGTATTTGAAAAGATCTCATCCCCTAAAAAATATGAGTATGAGTTGCAGGTAATGTGTGAGGACTGTCCATTACTATATATATATCTACTGATAATCCCAGTACAAGTCATGTCAATACAACGCACTTTACTCAGTAGGCTAGTGTCTGGCGTCACGGGGTCTGAATCAATCATGGGCGTGATTCATCATTAAAATTTCACGATCAGCCGATAGTTGTTTCATTTATATTTGCACTTGAGGCAAAGTAATCGCTGCTTTCCTACTTTAGTAGAGAAACGCACATGTCTAAATTCCTCCGTTCTTTCATTTTCACGCAAGAAAATAAATGAATAAAAAGAGGATATTTCTGTTCAGTTTACCTCAATTGATTTGTTTTGAAAGCAACATGCAAGTTGTCGCCATTTATGGGGTTGGCTACCGAATGCAGTATTGCGAGTCCTTCTCTTAGCAACAACTGAAGAGTTCCCATACGTGGTAGTCGGAATTCGTTATGTTGATAAACCGATATTCTAGAAATTAAATTAAATTCTCTCTCTCTCTCTCTCTCTCTCTCTCTCTCTCTCTCTCTCTCTCTCTCT